TCAAAGATTAAATTTTTTATTTTTTGTCAATTTTATTTGAAGCGTAATTTCTCTATGTACAGACACTTAGTTTTTAACAAAAATATATTATATAATAGCTCTGGTTTAGGGGAATCTAATAAAAAAAAGTTTGTGCAAATTAGATCACTCATTGTGATACAATTAGCATTTTAATTTTAGTAATTTTTTTAAAATTTTCAACTGTCCGGTGATTTTTGATCACCCACTGTACATATCTATACCACCACTGATCCTTCTTGTGTGTGTAATATTATGTATATTGAATATTCTAAATACACTTTTTAACTAAAATATATAAAATATTGGAAATTTTTTCCTTGATATCTCAACTTCCAAGATAATCAGAATAATTCTGTATAATCAGATTAGTATATTTTTTTAGTGTATCTTGATCCACAATTATTTTTTTCTGATTATTTATATTTTTTACACTAAGTATACAGGACCTTATTTTGAACTTTGCATTAGATGATAGTTGTACTCTTGCGTGATTGAGTTCATTCTATTCATTATCTAGTGAAAATTGAAGTATGTACTTCATATGATTTTTTTTTTTATAGAACCAATAAGACGAAGATTAAAATTCTACCTTGGTAGCCCTCTTATTAATAAATTTATCATATTTTTCCTCCAATAATTTATAAACCAATTTTGTGAATTTTTTAAGTTCCAGATAATCAATTAAAAGAGCTGGTGTATATAAGAGATGGTAATTATATTTTCTAGAATTGGAAGGTATAGCAATTACTAATCCTTTGAGAATTTCCTTCCAACTACAGTCAAGAATTTTATACAATGCCCTTATGAAAGAAAAACAGATACGAATAAATATATCTTTTGCTTAACATCTTTAGTTTTCATATTTTTTTGAGAAGTATCAATATCAATCACACTTCTTAAAAATCATTGTCCATTAATACATTCATGAATCCCAGGTATTTCATATACTTCAGAGATATTATCTATAACTGAAAATTTTTTATACTTACCTTGTTTTACCTGTATAACTAATTTATTTATTAACTCCTCTCGTGTATATGAATCTAGCAGGTTAATTCCTTCCTTTGCTCTATAATTAGATAAGAGATAGTTTCATAAATATATATCTTTTAACAAACTTTTATTATTTGACATATCTCTAATAGGTGAGAAAATGATTTTACGAATTTTATTTAACAAATCTTTTGAGATAAATTTATTATCAAATTTTTTTTGTCTCTTAGTAAAAGTAGTCTTGATAGAACCAGAGTATATGGAGTTCACTTGTTTTGTGAAATTAGTCAAATTAGACTTTTGTTTTTCTATATTAGGGAGTTGGAATAATGAAGACTTAATAGTAGTCTCAGTATTTGACTCATATTCAAAACCATAATTACTACAATTTTCCAATTCACATTCAAATATATTATTGCTATATTTATCTAAGTCGTTTGAATAGTTATTACTTTCTTCACCCCTGTACCAAGTCACTTGTGTACTTTGTTTGCTCATTTTTTGTATTGGTTTGTATTAATCTTTGTTCGATTATATTATTATAATATAGTTTGAAAAAGTTTAAATTAATTTTTTAGTAGATAGTAAATGCCATCAAAAAAATTGTATCAAGTTTTAGTGAAATAAACATGAAGGACTGTGTGTTTAATAATCAAGTAATTCTATAGGTCAGTGAAGTAATTTTCAAAAATATATTATATATAAAATGAAAAAACACTTTACTTTTTGATGACATGTTTTTGGATATGTTTGTGGATATGTGATTATATTAGATAAATGCATTAATAATATAATAGAGCCAGTGTCTATAACACATAAGAAAAATCGCATAAACTATTTATTCAATAATACGTTTTCGAATATATTTTTAATAGTGTATTTCAGGTAGGTTAACAAATGTAGTCTTTTGCAGAATATATATATAATAAATATGGCAAAAGACTATAATAAAAATAAGTATATATTTGATGGTATATTTTTATGATATATACTTAAGTGTAGTCTTTTGCAAAATATATATATAATAAATATGGCAGAACACTACATTTTTGATGACATGTTTTTGGATATATGCCAAAGTAGATATTCATTATTTTCTCATACTTCTTTTTTATGCATTTGATCAAAGTTTATCAATAGTAGCCTTAATATACAATAAACATTGACCAAAAACTAAAACAGTAAGTCTACCGCATTCAATACAAGGAATTCATTTTTTAGCTTTCCAATGACTACAATTTTCTGGTATTATATAAATGTTTTCACAAATTTCATTGGTATTATGATTAAATAGACAAGTGCATTCACGTGATATTTTTTATTATATTAAAATACAAATCTTTAGATGATAAAAATGTAACTAAAATATAACTAGGATACAATTTGACAATATACTCAATAGCAATTACATAGTATAAGTTGCATACATATTTGATAGCATTTATATGATATTCGTAAACCTGCTATCAAGAATCCTGATGTTACCAATAATATGTAAATCATATTATATATTATCACTTTTTTTTGCACATATCTAAAAACATATACTCTAGTTATTTGTCCCACTCAAATGACAAGAGTGGTCAACTTTTGTTGTCAGACCACATATCTGATTGGAAATAACCTACATAGAGAAACTCTCTACAATCAAAATCAAATATAATCACCATATATTATACAAAATTCAATATCAAATTTAAAAAACTAGAAGTTTCAAAACATTATATAAAGTAGTTGCTTGGAGTTTATCATAACCTAATTTAAAGAGTAACTTAGTTTCAAAATCATCTGTAATTATCAAATCGGTATACAGCGTGTCATATATAATCTGATAATAAAAATCAGCTAGATCACCAATCTGATATATGACAGTTTGAATATAGCTTAAAAAAATATATCACACCACTGACAACAGTGGTCAACTTTTGTTGTCAGACCATATAACAATGGTGATTAACTTTTGTCATCAGATTACATAATGATGGTAGTCAACTTTTGTCATCGAGCCACATGACGACAGTGGTTAACTTTTGTTATTAAGCTACATACCTGAGTGATCATAACCTAAGCTAAGTGAAAACAACATAATTATATTATTTCCACTTGTGAAATAATAATTGAAATCAAAAAAAATCTAATTAATTATTTTTAAAAAATATAAAAATAAAAAAAGGCTTGCTGTTCTGTTATTTTGTCACTTCACCATTGTGTGATTCGCTGTTTTGCTGATTTGTAACTGAAATATTATTCTTTATTTTATTTTTTTTATTTTCTGTTAAAGAATAAATAAAATAATTAATTATTTTTAAAAAATATAAATAAAATAAATAAAAAAAGAGCCTACTGTTCTATTATTTTGCCATTTTATCATTTTTCCATTTTTACTATTTTAACTATTTTATCAATTTGTAATTGTAAGAGTTTAGATTTTTTTTTTGTGTGTTAAGATTTAAAATAATTAATTAATTAAATTATAATTTTAAAATATAAAAAAAAAATTTTAGATCTTTGAACTACCAAATAAGTTCAATAAAAAAAAATTACATTAACTGACACTCAAAAATATAAATTGTGTCTTTATGCTAACAATAATAAAAAGACCAGATCTGAATATGTAGAATGGGTAGAATAAAAATGAAAAGTAAAGATTGACAAAAGTACTATTACAAGAATTTTGCAAACAAAAGAAAAGCGACTTTCTAATGATCAAATTGATTCAACACAAAAATAACATAAATCAGTAACATTTCCTGAACTTGAGTTGGTACTTAAGGAGTTTGTTTTAAGCTATTAACATAGAGTTATTCTTAGTGATTCTATTTTAATTGAAAAGGCAAAATTATTAGCAACAGAATTAAGTGTTTCTGAAAATACTTTATTATTTTCTTCTGATTGATTATATGGTTTTAAAAAACATAATAAAATTTAACAAATAAAATTACAAGGTGAAGTAGTATTAGCAAATGAAGTTTCTATTGAAGAGGTATTTCCATTATTACAAAATAAATGAACAGATTATTCTCCTGAACAAATTTATAATATGGATGAAACAGATCTTTTTTATTGGTAAAATATAATTTTACTTTATTAAATTTTATTTAAATTTTATAAATTTATTAATATTTTATTTATTTTATTTTATTTTGATTTATTTTTAAAAGGTTAGAACCAGATTATACATTAGCAACTCATAGACTTTCTGGCCATAAAAAAATAAAAAACATCTTTCAATAGCATTATGTGCAAATGCAAATAAATTATACAAATTATTACCATTAATTATTGAAAAATATGCAAATTCCAGATGTTTTAAAACAATTAATGTTCATAATTTATCAATAACTTATCAACATAATTCTAAAGCTTGGATGCTTACCACTTTATTTCAAGAGTGGCTTTGTAATTTTGATCAAAAGGTTGCAATAAAACATAATAGACAATGTGTTTTATTATTATTGGATAATTGTGGAAGTCATAAAATTGAAGGTTTAGATCTTTCACATGTTGATGTTTATTTTTTACCTCCAAATACAACTTCAAGAATGCAGCCAATGGATGTTAGAATTATTATGTCTTTCAAAAAACATTATTGTAGCTATCATATTCAATAAGTTTTTAATTAAATTTGAATAATATTTTATTTAATTTAATTATTTAAAAATTTAAATTATTTTATTTAGATAGACTTTAAAACAAGTTGAAGTTGGTCAATTTATACAAGATTTAAAAATGAATGTTTTACAAGCAATTCGTTTTATTATTTCAAGTTAGGATGAAGTTATAGTTGAAACAATTTATAACTGCTGGAATTATACAAATATTCTTACTTTTAATAAATTTTCTAATAGTTATTCTTATAATATTAATAATGAAAATAATAGTGAATTAACAAATAATATTTCTAAAAATATCCAGGCACTTTACCTTCCTAATGCAATAGGTATAGAAGAATTTCTTTCTGTACCAGAAGAAAATATTATTTATAAAGATTTAGAAGATGATGAAATTATTACAGAACTTGTTGACATTTTTAAAAAACCAGAAGAAAATATTAAAAATGTTGAAGAATTAGATGATAGTATTGAACCAGTTATTATTGATATTAGTGTAACATTAAAAAGTATAGAAAATATATACATGTTTTTATTTCAACAAGAAAATTCAGAAAAGTATATTAAATTAGCAAATACAATTGAAAAATTTATAAAAGTAAAAAAAATCAATATGTCATAACAATCTAGTTTAGATGAATTTTTTCCAAATTAATAATTGTTTAATTATGTAATAATAATTAAATAAATGTGATATAAATATAAAATATATAATTAATCTAGCATGAAAAAATTTTTTTATGAAATTTTTTATAAATGCATTCCTTTATAAATGCATCTTTTTGCTAATTTTCCAAAGGGTGTATTTATAGAGGGTTGACTGTAATACTAATAATAATAAATGGTAATAATAATAATAAATATATAATATAAAAATAAAATAATAAAATGAAACCATATAATAAAATAATAATATAATAAAATAAAATAATAAAATAGTAATGGAGAAAATATTCTATATTATAAATTAACTAAAATTAGAATTCCTTTTTGATACAATATATCTTTTGTATTTGACCTGTGTTAATAATCTATAATATAAGAATTACTATTTAGTACAGTGGTTTTTTTTGTATTTTACTAGTGAATATATAAAAGTACAATTTTTTATTTATTTTCCTATATATTATTTTACTTTTATATTATGCATGTCATCAAAATTGATTTCTGATTTTTGAGATATTTCACCTTTTTGAGATTCTTGAGATATGTATCTATTATAAATAAAAAAAATATCTAGTCTAATATATTTTCAATCAAAGAATTTATTTGGATAATCAAAAAATTTTGAATTTTAAATAAAATAATTTCATTTTCTATAAAAACTGTTTTGACTTTTGGATCCTGAAATATTTCACTTACTATGATAGGTTATTTTGTATGCAAGTATAGCATCAACAACAATTTCTAATTTCACAAGTGAAAACAAGAATAAAACAATTTTAGAAAAAAAATCTCTTCTTTCTTTATTAGAATCACTCATGTTTTATAATGTAAATCAATGTAAATCAAAATATATATAATAAAACTATGGGTGTGCTCACATCGGAATTGGATTTGATGTTGGTTACATGAATTGTGTTCACATCAAAATGGATTGGATTTGTATAATCCAAAATTCAATTCAGATTGAATTATTATTAATAAAATTTCAATCTATAAAATTCATGTCTTGTGATCTATCTATCTCATACTCACAAGCAATCCATATCTTTACAAATTGATAATTGAATTCAGTTAATCAGATGCCAATCTAGATTGAAAGTTCTGGTTCCAGTTCTAGTTCCTGTTCCAATTATGGCATAAAGGATTTGGCATCTACATTTGAAGCAAAAGATACAAACGCACTAAAAGTGACCTTCATATCGGCTTCTAATGAGAAGTCATACCTAATGTTGATGGTAAAAGCTATTTTTTTTTTTAACCATTTTCTTGGAGAACTTGATACTTATAGATTGAATATTATCTAGTTATTGACTTACCAGAAGAGTTTCTTCTTCCTGGCATTGGTACTGGAATACTTCAAAGCCATATTTTTCAGCTTAAAAGAAATTGCAGATCCTGTTGTTCAAACACATTGAATGATGTTGTATTGAATGGGTACTCAAGTAGTTAGCACTGACAAAACTTTTACCAACACTTATGTAGATAACTTACTTCGTATCGTCAAGCCGAATAACTACCCTTTAACTGTATTTGAAGTGTTTTTTAATACTATTTTTGTGTAACTGTTTCACTATGATTTTTATTATAAAGAAATTTCTGCGTCTGAAATAAAAATATATTTGCTCCCTTGGAACCCTATGTATAACCATTGTGCGCTACATACTCATGCGAAATTATTTTAATTAAAACATTTAACCTTATAGATAGAAGAATCGTGGAGCAAGAATAAAGAGGGATGAATAAAGCATGAAACCATGCCTGCCGGATCCTGGGCCCTTTACATTGTAAAGAAATGGTAGTTCCTTTCCTCATTACTAGCTATCATTATCGTTATTATCATTGTATCAAAAATTATATTACTGCTACTTGAAAATTTATTATTTCCTGAGAAATAATTCTCCGAGCCTCTATTGCTACTACTGCTAATAACGGAATTATCTTTTTTCCGATTTTCTTTTCGATTTTATCTAACGATGTTCTTAGCGGAGATTTTGATGACGATAGAAACTTGAAGTGTAGCTGAACTGAGTTCAATTTCTTCAGATAGAACATTGTACATTTTTGTGGGGGACCTTTCCCTTTTTTCTTCTTTCATTAAATATATTTATAAACTCTACCCAAAGGGTTTCGACTTCTTCAGGACATTCGGTGACTTTGAGTAGAAACTTGCCCTAATTATGGAAATTCAGATTATTAAAAATGTTATATGTATCGGAATTTTGCAATTATTTTACAAACCTACTTCTGGCTTCAGAATCTATTTCAATTCGGTTTGCATTCGTTTTTAGAGTCAAAATGACTCTTTTATATTGGCATTTGTCGAGTCGGAATTGGGGTGGGGGCAGGAGATATGCGTACACATTTTTTCGGATTAAAAATAATAAAATTGCGAGGACAGCGTACGTTGTTACATTTTCCCGGAAATTGTATAAAGTGTTTCCATGGTTAAAAAACCTCGGAGATATAATTCGCGGATCACGATTACGATAGTGAAAATCGAAATGAAAAAATATCAGTTGTATTGTACACCATTTTTTATTTTTGGAATAATTTTTGTAGATGTTTTTTTTTTTATTTGACTGAATGTATTGCGCAATCGTCGATTTGATAATATTTTATTTCTTAGCCAAGTCTAACATTTTTCATCTTGTTCCATACGTCTCCTTAATCCATAGCATTGGTTCGTTCTAATTCAAGATAATAGATTAACGGCGACCTAATATAAACGATTATAGATTTACTAATGTACGGATCTACATTTATTTCAGTGATCCATGTCTCACTACCGCATTTCAAAAAACTGAGGAGGAAGTTGATAACGAGGGAAAGCTTGTCGCATTGTTGTTTTATGATGCTAGTAATACGATGGCAAACATCTTTCAAAATAAGAACAAAATAGCAAAAGATAAAAATGGATTTTTATACTTGATATACAAAGATGAAAAATGTATATTATGTACCTTTAATCTCTTTAATCTGTAATGATAAAATAGGCAATGCATACATAATTAAATTTCCATGAAGTAATTTTAATCAATGCTCCTTGTTATGAAATTCAATACCTAATAGTAAAGATGATACTTGTAACTAAAGTTAATCAGGAAATTATACATTAATTAATATAAAACTTTAAAGAAACCACTTTAGCATCCAAAAGAAGTGAAAAAAAATTAGTGAACCAGAGAACAACAGACTGCAGAAAAATCTAAAGGAAAGCTATTCAATACAATATAAAATCCATGTATATGATGAAAAAAAATAAATAAATTTATTACAGGTTTTATCGAGTAACAATAGAAGGAAGTTCCTAAAGAAAGTTCAAAAAAAATGGATCAAAGTATATTTAACGGATAAATCATTCAATACTCTTATTTATGAAAAAAAAAAATACTCGCATAAGTGGGAGAGACATATTTGGTGAAATTGTTTACATAGAATCACTTTCTTTATTCAAACAAAATCATTAAAAATAAAAATCATGAATAAAAAAATCGGTATACAAGCTTTCATATCCATTATCTTAAATACTGTAATTAAAAAAGAAAGAAAAGTTAGTAAAGCATTATTGGTTTACAAAGGACCAATTATGGTGCACATTGTGGAGATCAGGTAACAGATGGATTTATATTATTGTAAAAAATTGTATAAAAAAATTGAGAACAATGGAGTGATACTTGTTATGACGTAAGATTGAAAAATACTGCTCTTGGATAAGATACAAATCTATAACAAAATTAGGATACCAGGAACCACGATGACGTATTGAGCTGTATTAGAAACTCCCTAACAATCGGAGGGTTTCAAAATACGTCTATCCTTAGAAAGAAAGATAGTTGAATTATTGTAAAATTAAGTTGGAAGCACTAATCACTCTTAGTCAATGTCCTACTTGGAACAATTTTGAAATATCTTATCTAGTTTGGTCAACATTTGTCACTGAAATTTTAAAATTAAATCCTCATATATTTTTCATATTTTCTTAAATTTTCATCTAATAAATAAAAATTCAATGTACCAAAATGTAATATTTATGACATTTATCAATTACGATAATCTGGATACTGAAAAATATTGACTAGTTTAATTGATAATTTTTAATATTTACAATAAGATGCTGTACGTGGAAATGGTATTACATCACGAATATTTTCTATACCAGTTAAATATTGTAAATATCTTTCAAAACCGATCCCAAATCCACCATGCGGTGCAGTTCCATATTTTCTCAAATCAAGATACCATTGATAATCATTGCTTCTATCATGTTTTTTTAAATTTTGTTCTAATATCTTATATCGTTCCTCTCTTAAACTACCACCAACCAACTCTCCAATTTTTGGTACAAGTAAATCTGTGCAAGCCACTGTTTTATCATCTGGATTAATACGCATATAAAATGGTTTTATTTCTTTGGGATAATCTGTAATAAACACTGGTCCACAACAGTAATTATTTGCTAAATATTTTTCATGTTCACTATGTAATGAAGAACCATATTTTGGTAGAAATTCAAATTTTTGATTTGCTTTTGAAAGTACATCAATGGCTTCTAAATAACTTAACCGGGAAAATGAATTATTTATTGTGTTTTCTAAACATTTGATAAGTTCTTTATCAATCTGTTGATTACAAAATGATATATCTTGTGAGCAATTATCCAAAATATATTTTGTTGTTTCTTTTATACATATCTCTGTGAAATTTAATAATTCTTCCAATTCAAATAAGTATGCAATTTCTGCTTCCAACATCCAAAATTCTGCCAAATGTCTTGAAGTAAGAGATCCTTCTGCCCTAAAAACTGGCCCAAAAATGAAAACTCGGGACATTGCATATGCTAACATTTCAGCATGAAGTTGTCCTGAAACTGTTAAATATACTGGCATTCCAAAGAAATCATTTGATTGTGACTTTTGTTCTAGAGATTTTTCTTTGATCTTTGGCAATTTATTAGATATATTAAACACTTCCCCACCACCTTCACAATCTGAACTTGTTATGATTGGCGTATGAACTTGAAAAAATTCATTTTTCTTATATCATTTAGTATATTTAAATATTAATATCTTTTTCTTTTTCTTAATCATAAACAAAGGTGTCTTATTGTTAATCAAAGAATTTACAGAAATTTACCTGGAAAAAATTCTGAAAGGCTAAAACTGCAGCATTTCTAATGCGTATAATAGTTCCAAAAATATTTGTTCGAGATCTTAAATGCAAGTTTTCTCGAAGAAATTCCATAGAATGATGTTTTTTTTGTAAAGGATAATCCTAAAAGAAATTGTTTAATTCTATGAATTATTATCCTTAAATTCTATAATAAATGCTTTGGATCAACATAGAAAAATTTTCATCACATACAGAACCACATTCCCCCAAGATTTTGACATCATGTGCTTGTAATTCTTTGCTTTGTTCAGTTCCGAGACTTTGCGCGAGAACTCCACGTATTCTGACACATGTCCCTGTGGTTAACCTGTTTAAATTTTCAGATAATGTCTAAAAATCATGAATGTTGATAAAAATGATTTTTTTTTTAAAAATTTTTAAAAAATAAAAAGTTTCAATTCACGATACATTTTTGCTTCTTCGACCGTTAAGATAGCCTGTAAACCTTTTAGACTCGAACCATCATTAATCATAGCAAATGATACGTTTTTTTGAATACGTACGGAACGTATCCAACCGTGTACTTCAACTTTTTCATTTGTAGCTGAGTTTTCAAGTATATTCTTAATTGTTTTACTAGATAGAGCATATTGGCTTTTATCATTTGTAGAGAGGAAGCGAATTCTTCGACGCTGCAAAATTTTAATACATGGAAAAGAAAAATGTGTAATGTTTTTTCGTGTTATAAATTTAAAATGTTGAAGATTCATTTAAAAAAAAATTATCAGTTATGTGCTACAGATATATGATATACGAGCTTCCTTATCCTGACCCTGGTTCAGGGACCCCGGAGACTCGGGGAAATCAATGGGAAGATGGATCGGAATATCACGTTTAATTAACTACTATTGGTCAAGCTGTCAATTAATTAGCACCAGACAGGAGCATAATTAAACCATTGCAAAAAAATAATATCCAATGAAGAATTAAGGCAGCTAAAAAATAAAATAAAAAATCATTGCAGGCTTGCGCTTAAGTTAATATCTGGATCATAGACAAGAAAGTTTAGCACTATAAAATAACTCTTTCAAATTCGTACGACGCGGCTTGCTTTTATCTTTTATTATTTTTTTTAGACTTTGCCTTTTTAGATTAGATCAGTATCCATTTTAAGCGAAAAAGTAATTTGTGGTTTCACGGATTTGGAAGCGTTTATATTTATTATATCAAGAAATCAACGCTCTTGTCTTTGCCTTGCTGTGCCGTTCTGTGCTCATGATCTTGATCTACCGCTTCGTTTTACTTCTCTCTGAGCGAGTATATTTATAAAAAATCGTTTGTCGCGCAGATGTGTTTTTTATACAATACACTACTATATTTTCTATCATAAGTTAGAGTAAATTGATTTCTTTATTACGTAATAAACAAATAATGTGATAATAACATTCACCTTTCTATTTCATTTCCCAAATTACATATTCAAAAAAAAATAATTACTAAGCACTTGATAATATATTCATTGTGATAACAATAGATTGATTGTTAATAATTGATAACCAAGAAGCCATTTATGAAAGGTCTTCTGATTTAAAATCATCAGTTCAATTTACGTTGCAATAGATTAAGGGTAATAGGGCAATAGCTTAATTGTCTTGACCAAAAAACTATTATGCAGGGTCTTCTAATCAGTTCAATTGTTTCCACCTGAATAACCAAAAAAGGATCAAACCACGATGGATTAATTATATGAGAAAAAGTGCAGAACCTCCATATCATAAACTTCGACTATAACTACTTGATATCACCAAGGGCCGTTCTGAACGAATACAAAAGATTAAACGCGATACATGCTAGAGGGTTCCAAAATTTACAATAAATCTTTAACTTGTATTTTTGATCAATTACTACTCGTGACCGTAGATCTAAATGTTTGTGACGTTTCCAAAAACATGTGCTGTAACGTTCCACAAAAGAATCTAGAAATTTTCATGATGCATATACCACATGTCAAAAGTGTATCACATGAAACCATCTTAAATCACGTTTTCGGTTAATCCCTAACTTTTTTATTAATCAATATGATCTAAATATTATTTACAAAGAAACATCTTTTATTTTTTTCTGAAATATATTATTATTTTCCTCTCATTCGATCGGATACCAATTCTCTGAAATCTGAAATAATCTTGTTTTCTTTCTTGGCTGTATAATGAATTTAATAATTGTAATGATCAAAAAATATAAACTAAATAAATTATAATAAGAAACATCATTATTAATTAATATATATATATATATATGTATAAATATATATATATATCATCACTTACTTGTATAGCATCAAAGCTCGCTTCTCTTCTGCAGAAATAACTTGATTTTCTTTATGAATACGTACTGCATTCATACGTCGATGACTATAAAAAAAAGATGTAATTTGATTGATTTGATCGAATTAATCAATTTGTTAAATGTTGTAAATAATACTACTTGTTAAATAATATTAAAAGAACATACCGACTACCACTCATGACATAATCAACATCTTCGAAAGATTGAATTTCATTAGAGGTGAGAACAATTTCACACTTGCCTTCTTATACATATGCGACCATAGCTGAACCTTCACCTGCTCCTCCGTAACTAAAATAATTGTTAAATAATTGAAAATTGTTAATAATAATATTATATATGCGTGTACAATTCAATAATTAATTTAAATAAACAAAAAAAGAAAATATAATAAATAAGAATAAGAAAAAATAATAATAATAATAACGCACTCTCTTTCCCCAAGTTTATTTTCATTAATGGAGATTGGAACAGGTCCAACATTTAATAAATCCTCGGGTAACTCAACTATATAATATTTAATAATTAAAAAAAAAAAATATTTTAGTCTTTTAAAAAAAGGAAAAAAAAAAAATAAATTTTATTTCAAAATTTAAAATCATACATTTTTTCTCAATCCAAAGTTCATCTTCAATTCTTTCTCATCAACATTTATAATATCTTTTCCATTTATACTGTCATGATCTTGATTTTTCTTTTCACATGATTCATTGGAACTGGCGCAATCATTTTTACCACCATTGCTCGAAGTAATTTCTTCTTCTTCTTTAGATTGTTTGTAATGTTTGTGAGAGTTTGATTTCTTATGTTTTTTAGATTTATATTATTTTGTTAATTCTCGATGTTTCCTCTTTTTTGAATTACGTTTTTTATCTTTTAAACATGTAATTCTGTTACATTATATATTCTTGCTATCTTTCATTCTTTCAAAACTGATTTTATAAATATTTAGATTCTACCTTCTGATGATATTGACGAATAGGAAAAGTCCCCTGAATCCAGATACTTCGAGATCGTTTCTTCTTTGATATTTCTGATTTATCATATAGTAACCTATATAATGGATAAAATTTTTTTTTAATATAATAAAAGAAAACATATACATATACATATATATATATATATATACACATGTAAAATAATATTTCGTACTTTGAGAATATTCTGGGATGGTGGTCAAAGGGAATAAGTCCTCTCTTGACGAATTCGTCTGCGTCTGATAATAATAATAATGATAATAATAATAATAAATTGAATTAGACAGAACAAATGATTCAAGGAATAAAGAATTATAATCGAATAAAACTTACTGTTCAAATATCGATGTAGAATTATTAGTTCTTCCCATTATTATTGTTTTTTTCAAAAAAAAAAACTTGTTATACAGTAGAGTTTATAGTGTGTGTGAGTGTGACAAAAAATATAAATGCTATATAATCATTCCTAAATTTACTTGATCTCTAAACAACACATCTAGAATTTTTACCAGCAGTATTTATTTATCTCGAATAATTTAAAAGCAAAAGACTTCGAAGAACAATTCGTACTTCAACACTAATTTGTCACAAAAATCCCCCAATTATTTTTAAACCATTATACGAAGTAAAATTATACATGCATTTTCATTTTTTTTTCTTTTTAAGATGTATTGCGTGAACTCAATCAATCAAAAATAATAATGTAATGAATAAAAATAATGATTTCAATACTTTCCAATTTTATTATTTTATTTTATTCATTAAGAAAATATTTACAAAAATATAAAATAGCTAATTCAAATTTTCTTTTTTTCTATTTTCCGCTTTTCTATCAATAAAATTATAAAATGCTTACATTATCATCGTTTCTTGGTTTCCAGTTCGCGTTCCACTTCGCAATTAGGAAATCTACAAATAGAGAGACGACGCACAGGCGTAGGCCTAAACGCCGCCATTAGCATTAAACAACAAACAAGCAAATAGAAGAAATAAAATAAATAGAAAACACCCACCTCACATCTAAATCTTCAAATCTTCTAAATCTTCTAAAGTTTCTTTCTTCCAAACCTACCTCAAATATCGTCGTCCTAATAAGATGTTGTGGAAAATAAAAAAAAAAATAGAGATTAATATTTTTATTCTTTAATATTCTTTAATAATCTTTAAAATTAAACTTGAAATTAGAAAAGCGGAAAAAATGAAAAAAGAAAAGTTAGGACAGAAAAAGTGAAGTGAGGAGAAAGCAAAATAGTCGAGAAATTTATTTGATCAATATTATTATATAGTCTTAATTATGTCATCGAAACTTTAAACTTTTCGAATCTTTTTTTGATTGTTTTTCAAAAAAGGAAATTTGTATGAGATTATCTGAGTTTTAAAATTCGAAATTTCAAATTTCAGAAATTTCAGATATCTTAATTACAGATCAGCATATGCAGCATATGCAGCATATGATTACAGATAAAATCGATATCAGTTTTTTTTTTCTCCTGAAAAAAAAGGTATTTAAATCCCATTTTTTCCGCTTCATTTTTTTTCTTAATCTCACTTTTTCACTTTTTCTTCATTTTTCCCGTTTTTCCCGTTTTTCCTTATTCCTTATCTTGAGTTTTTATTACAAATATTTAATCTTTAATTTTTTTTTTCTTTTTTTCACATCTATTAGGATGACGATATTTGAGGTAGGTTTGGAAGAAAGAAACTTTAAAAGATTTAAAAGATTTAGATTTAGAAGATTTAGATGGTGAGGTGGGTGTTTTCTATTTATTTTATTTATTCTATTTGCTTATTTGTTGTTTAATTCTAATGGCGGAATATAGGCCTACATCTGTGTGTCGTCTCTCTATTTGTAAATTTCCTAATGCGAACTGGAAACCAAGAAACGATGATAATGTAATAATGTAAGTGTTTTAAAATTATTAATATTATAGGAAAAACGGAAAAAAATTCATTTTATTTGATGTTTATAGATTTAGTAGTATATTATTTATTTGATGTATATAGTAGCATACTATTTTAATTTTTTTTTTTTTTTGACATTTGTACATTAAAAATCATAAGTTTATTTTCTAAATTAGAGATTTGTTAATGTTCCTCTTCACAGCTTGTTAATTTAGTAAAATGAACCCATACTTTTTTGAAATGTCACATAAAATGACATTAACTCTTAAAAAGGTAATTACATACGTTTTATAGAGGTAATACAGAAAGGTGTGGACCAGATGAGTGGTGTACAGGCATAAAATAGGAGTTGCGTACGGTGTACAAAGATGTTAAAAAAACTTATAACTATCATGTGATTAAAGCTAGGGTTGGGTTAGGTATATAATACTCGTACACATGTAACACCACTCATTTGGTCGGCCTTACTCCACACCTTTCCGTAGGACTCGTTTTATAGCTGAGTTGGCTTATATCGAAAACATAAACAACAAAATTCCATTTGAAAAGGCTTTTCTGTAAATTCATAATAAACTATGACAACCTCTAAGGACATAGACCTCCTTAACGCGGCATTTTCAGCCATAATTAAGGGTGAAATTTTTATATCCAAAAAAGAATTTCAAGAAAGGCAAAACCGTCACGATGGTATCATATATCAGCAAGTTGACTTGCATTCTTTTCATAAATTCAATCTTGTTGGTGGTATTGTGGATCAAGAAATGCAAACCTTTCATCCTTCTAGACCTCTGCTGTACGTGAAAACTCTCACTGGTAGAACTTTGACGATTGAATTTAAAGAAAATGATACAATTGCCAATTTAAAACTAAAAATTCAGGATATGGAAGGAATTTTACCAGAAGACCAAAGGCTTATTTTTGCAGGTAAGCAAATTTATGATGATTATAAGACGTTTGCTGACTGCAAAATTAAGAGAGAAGATACATTACATCTCGTGTTACGCTTGAGGGGTGGTGGATGTGTACTTAGTTACTTGGATCCAGATTTTTTGGACCCAAAGTACCATTATGATTTTACTAATATAGATGATAAAGGAAAGACATATATTCGTGGGAATATTCAGTATCAAAGACCATGTGGCTGGAGACGATTCGCTGTAAAAGTCTCTGGGAAGTACGATAATGGTGATGACACATGGCTTGGTATCGGTAAAAATTCCTGGCCAGTATCATATCATGGTACTGATAAGAATAACACGAAGTCAATTGCAGAGGATGGATATTTATTGAGCAAAGGAAAACGTTTTGCTTTTGGGCGTGGCATTTATTCAACACCTAATATAGAAATAGCAGAAATGTATGCACCGGAATTTCAGTTTGAAGGGAAAACTTATATGGCAGTTCTTCAAAATCGAGTAAATCCTGTAAATTTACATAGAATTTCGAAACGGACAACTGAAATTGGTGAGTATTGGATTTCCAGAAGAGATACAGATGTTAGGGCATACGGAATTTGTATTAAAAGAAAGGATACGAATTATACTCGTAACACTCAATAACTCGATAATTGTTTGATCTCATGACGATTATAGCAATTTTTAAATGTGAAATCTTAACTTAGACCCGGTCTTAGATTCTTGTTTATTAGTTAAATAAAAACTCATTTCCCTTCTTTTCTTCTCTTGTAATAAACAGTTAATTAGTTTAATCATTCTTGACAATAATTATAACACCCATACTTTAGATATTGTTATGAAATTGGTAAAGGGTTAGTTACTAAATACCATTTATTAATTATTATCATATTTCTTACCTTTTATTATGTATTATTTATTTATTATTATTATATAAGTTATTATATTATTTATTACTATTGGTAAAGTTTATATGTATATTACATAAATTTATTTAATTAGTGATTTACAACTCCCGTAACATTGTTAATATGTAATTTATATTTTGGATTATGTTTTTTTTTTAATTGATTAAATGGTTAGAATTTTTTTAGCGTGTGAAAATTATATTTGTCACCTGTATCTACATATCTCCTTTCTAATTTTTAATATCCAAATTACGTCACACACGAAAATACAAAATTTTGTATCCCAGATTCCAAAGATCATATGTTAGAAGAAATTAAGGGTATTTGACTTTGATGTCGTTACTTTAATGTATTTGTTTATATCATATAACTTATTTTATTTTTGGGATATAACATGGATTATTACTTGAAAATAAGAAAGATAACACCTAATGTTCAAACTCATATCAATACAACAGAGTCATCCTCCAAAAATTCTAAAATTAAAAATGGATAACAATGTTAGAAATAGATATAGAAATAAAAAAATAAAAGGAATAATTCTTTCACTTAAAAAGAACAGAAATAAAAAAAAATCCAAATTATAATCTATTTTGTATTATCATGATCAAAACAGAACTTCAAGTGAAAAGCTTAGTTTGTGAAATTTGAAAAAAAAATATGCGCGCGTATGATGCTAAATATCTAAGTATCAAAATGTATTTATTATAGACAAATCAATGATAGAAAGATTAGAAGCAAAAGCATCCTCTCTCAAGATCCCTACAAGAAAATAATTAAATCTTTTATTAATAAAATATTCACTTTATTTAATGTTTAGATAATTATTCCTACATTAAGATATCATAAGTTTTTTATTAAGTTTTAATATTTAAAAGATAGGATAAATCTATTTGTCACAGTGGTGATTGTCACCACTGGGCAAAATTACTGATCCTAACCTTTGTTAATTTTGCCCAACGGTGACCATCACTAGCGGTGACAAGTATATTTTTTTTTAAAGATATATTTGTATTAAATTTTAAATTTATATTTCTGTATATACAGTGAAATGAACTCCCGGTGATCATTTCTATTACTTTGGGAAGTTGTTTTCGTAATTAATTTATTCAATTCAAAATCTAATATATTTAACTGAATTCATTAGCTAACTTAAAACATATTGCTTTATTTTACAATTCAGAAGTTCTTATTTTGAAATAAAAACTTAAAAAAATTATGTTAAATGACGGTAACATTAAAATCATTGAAATATATGTTACCATCCCAATCGATATTATTAGAATTATTATTTTTTTCTAAGATTTCCACCTTTATAATATTGTAAAGCCATTTTATATCTGTGAGTTTCTTGATCTTTTGATCTTTTGTAATTTCAAAAGGTGTAGTTGATGACTATTTGTTTCAAGTTAACTGCCAACTAAATGACATATTAATACTTAATAAATTATTTTCATTTAATTTATATTTAATTTAAAATAAATATTAATTTATCTCATTTAAAAATTCTTTATTTATATCTACAATCAACCTTTTTTAATACCCACTTCAAATTTGTTCATTTCTTTCCCATTATTGATTTTCAATATCCCAATTTACAACCCATATGGCATAATCTACTTCATTTCTAGTTAATAAAGGTAAAAACCATATTACTTTTATATGTGTATATGATATCAATTTACTTGTTCTATATATACTTTTTTTTTTACTAATTTATTTCAACTTAATAATTCTTTTCTTGCATAAGTTACTTTTGAATTTATTTTGTCCTGTAGATGACCAATTAATAAAGTTCCTTTGAAGGTAAATTAATGCATGTTGTTCACTGATATGTTAATTTACTTTACCATGTTTTTTTCTATTATTATTCCAGCTTATAGGCACATATGTAAAAAATTTCAAGTTTCTTGGCCGTGAAGAAACAAAAGAATGGAACTTTGAATACAAATGGTGAATTATTTTCATCGATGGTTTTTGGTGATATTGGTGGTCATTGCCGAACATTTATCATAATTGTTCTAGTTACATGATCAATAATACTGATATTTATTGCCAGTTGCTTGTTAGATGAGAAAATGATTTTTAATGAAAGAATAAAAGAATTAAGATAATATGAAATTGTAATTTTAGAGGAGATTCATAATGATCCCGAACATATATAATGTTTTGGTTTTTGATTTTTACATCAAACAAGTCAAATATATTATATCAATTTCCAGAAACTAATGATTGATTCTGAAGAATTATTTTTGTGGCAAGATTGGGAAGACTTTAATGTTAGATTTTTTGATATTCAAATTTTGTTTACACTCTGTTTGTGGTTATAAAGAAATTAATGAATGCAATTTATTAAAATGTACATATTGTGGTGATATGCTTAATAACATTATTATAAAGATTCCAGAATGGGATACTGTTGAAGTTCATTTCATAAAAGAAAGGATTTCAGTAAAAGATTCTTGGGAAGTCATAGATTTAAATTCTAAAAAATTTTTAGTTTACAAAAATGGAGAGGGAATGGGTATAGTTATATTCAACTTAAAACTATCAACAATAAAGATGTAAATGGAGAAAATTAGAAACTGATCAACCTCAAAAGATTACAGTTGATATGATTAAAAAAGAATATAAATCTACTTGCTGATAAACTTAAACTTCAGAACGATGATTTCATTTTTTTTTTGTTATCAATATGTCCATTAGGTGATGAAATTTCTAATTTTACTACTTTTAATAAAAGACATTTTATACCTTTTATGGTTTTACCTACACAACACGAGCTAAATTTGCAGCAGGTTAATAAATCAAATAATTTTTTTTTAAGTTTTCAAATAAGTATTCAAATATTATTTTAAAAATAGCACAAGAAAAAGTTAATATTAATATAACTGAGATTTGGGAAATAAAAATCATAAAGGGGTTGATGTAATTATAGCAAATGATATAATTCAAAAGCATAAAAGGAAATGTTTTAATAATGAGAAAGATTTATGTGAACATACAAAGTTTTCAAAAAATAAATATTTTATTATAAAACAAGCATAATAACAATATGTTTTTTGGATTTAAGAATTTCCTATTTATTATATTAAAATAAGAGGATATAACATATTGTTTATTTTTTATAATAGAATACAAATCTTTTTCTAAATTGGGATGTAATGTGACATGGGTTTCGGGGGTTTTAAGTGGTTTTTTTGATAATAAAATTGGGTTCGAAGATTATCAAAACACATATCCAGTATACAGTATACTCTTTTTTTTTGGCGAGAATTTCTTGATCGAAAAACTGCTTCAATTCAATCAATTCAATTATTAATTTTCACATTCATAAAACAATATTATAGTACATATTATACAGAATCTTGTAGAAATTTTTTAAATCAATCACTAATATGAATCTGTTCTCAAAAGAGTATAAAAAACGTGTTATATGTAATAATATACAATTAATTGAAAGTTATAAAGCAATGTAACTTTTTGGACGGAAATGATAATGATGATAATGATAATGATGATAATGATAATGATGATGATGAAATTATAATGAGAAAACAAAAAGAATTACTATTTGAGGAATCGGTTACATATTATATTTAATTATACTATCCTTTGATTTTTCATGAAAAGGATTTTTAATATTCTATCAATATCTCTCCAAAGAAAACATCAATATTTGTATTTTGTGGAGTAATCTTTTGGTGAAACCACTAAACCCCTTCCTTTTCGTGCACCACGATAAACAGTCTCTATTATATCTATGAGTTCTTGTTTATCTTCTAATGCCTAAAAAAAAATAATATAATATAATAAAAATTGATAAAATTAATTAAATTGTAAAGAAATTAAAAAAATAGAAATATTTTTCAAATATATTTCGAGAAATTACAAAATGACTTTACTAACCCAATTGATCTTGTTATTGTTACCAGTTCCCAGATCAATCATAATATGTTTATTACGAAAGAAGAACATTACAGTACAAGGATCGTAAAGTTCATACATCTAAAAAAAAATTATATATCATTAATATATTTTTTTTATATAATAAAATAAAAATCAATTAATATGAGGATAATTTCATCTATGTGAAACCATACCTTATTAAAATCCGGAACTTCAGTAATATCGACCTATAAAACGAATAAAATAAAATGAATTAATGAATATAATTAAGAAATTCATATATAATTAAGAAATTCATTTTCAAAATAATAATTAATTTTATTTACCAGATAAATTACAGCAAAATTTTTTACTTTTTCGGCTATTCCATATAAAGTTTCGTCCATTTTCATACATGTTGGATCCTATGGGATAAAAAATTATATTAAAATTTATAATAAACTTTCGATACAAAAGTTAAAGTCAACTTTTACTATAAACAAACCCAATCATGTCCAAATCTAATTACTACCACTCGATCCTCTTCAGACAAGATGGCTTGATCTACTTGCCAACCTTTAAAAAGATTAAAAATATAATTGATTAAAATTAGTAGATTATTTGATATAAATTATAAAATATAAAAATATATATACCGTTGGTTAAATGAGGAAGGAAATAAGACATTTACTCGATTTGGTTTTTGTTTTTTTTTTAGTTTAAGAAGCCAAATATAGTGTACTTGAAAATCACAGCACCACATTTCAAAATTACGTCATGCCCTAAAATAGCGATTTTTAATATTAACAGTTTTAATTTAACAAAAGATCGTCATCGATTGTTATTTTTATTTTGCTTTTTAAGGACAAGAAAACATATAATATAATAAATTAAAAAAGAAACACGTTTTTTAAGTCTTTTATTAAATTCCTCACGTATAAATATGTTAACTCGCAGAAGACTTACAAGTCATTCTTTAACTTCACATACAGTATCCTTCGGTGACCCTAAAGCTTTAAATGAGAAATTTGTACAAAAATTTGTTGAGGAACAGCAAAAAATACACCAAAATGACAACAACAATAATAATATTCTGAATCAATATTCACAACAGAATTCTCCATGTTCAAATATGTCTGATAATATTGACAATTCAGTGGTTTCAGTCAAACAGAATATTCAAGATACTAACACTAGTCATTCGAAGCTTCGGGAACATACTAAAGTATTTCAAAAAACTTCGAAACACGTGAAAAAAGGAAAAACCAATTTACATAAGGGTTCAAAGAAAATAAGGTATCGAAATTCTTCTCTTCTTGTTAGCCCTCAAATTATGCAGGTAAGATAAAAGAATTTCATTTGAACGTGAAATCAAGATTTTGAATTAAAATGTTTATATTGATAAAAAAAAAATAGAACTTTTCTTCTAATAAACTTGGAACAAATCGAATCACGGTAATAATTTTATTTATATTTTATAAATATCTCTTTTTTTATTTGTATTTTTTTTTTATCTGTTTCTCAGATTTTTTTGAATGAATCTTTTAATATAAATATAATATTACAATTTTTAAAAGATTCGTGAGAAGATCAAGCCAGGAATTTTTAACAAAGGAAAGGCTTCTGAAAAAATTGTCGCAAGAGGAGGTATTTTTTTTTTCAATCCATGTATTGATAATTTAAATTCATGTGATATATAAATAATTCACCACTATTTATGAATTTAATTCCTTTTAGTTCCTGATTTGGTATTTTCTGAAATAGATTTTCTGAATTCCATTCCTTCGAATAAACGAAAATACGATAAACACGAAAAGTCCGATTCATTTTCTCGTCGCGTTAATAGTAAGATTGAAGATCATTTAGATGATCCAAATCAGGAAACCTCTCGTGATGATGATCGCGTAGATCAAACGTCTCCTATTGGTATATTGCAAATATAAAATTAGCAAGCAAGAATTTGACCATTAATATTGTTCATTGATTATCTTTTTTTTTTCTTATAGAAGAAATACTTAATCCAATTAATGATATTGAAGAAAGCAATAATGATAATCCTAACGAATGTGATGATAAAGACAAAAAAACAACTTCATCATTAGATGATCACTTTGATTCATGTAAAGAGAATGATTCATCCTTAGATCAATTTGATTCACTTAAGGAGAATTTCTGTGAATTTATCTCTAAATATTGGCCACCTAAAAAATCTGATGATTATGAACTTGAGAAGAATATCATCACTGATGACAAATATGATAAACTTGATGATCATGAACTCTGGAAAAATGATGTTGAACTCGCGCAGGATATCATGGTTGACGATAATTCTACTACAATCAATGAAAGCACCATTTTAGGTGATGACGATGATGATGATGGTGGTGATGATGGTGATGCAACAATTACAAATGATGAAGGCGGTATGAAAGTTATGAATGAAGATGAAATAACACTTGAAAACGTAATCTTAGAAGAAGACGATATAACAATTATGAATTACAAAGATGATGAGAAAGTTATGGATAAAAACTCTGTAACGTTTAAAGATGATAGTGGTCCAACTGTTTTAAATGTTTATAATAATTATAATAATCCTATACATTTTGTTTGGAGGCGACACCGATTGCATTAGATTTTTTAGAATTTTTTTTTTTAATTTCATTTAATTTAATTTTAATTTATTTAATTTCAAATTTGAACACACTTATTTATATACAAAATATATTCTTAAAAATGTTTAGATTGATATAAATAATATAACAAAAAGTATTAATCAAAAAATTATCGTACCCTACTTTAAAAAGAAATTCTATATATATATATTAAAAAAAAAGAGAAATATTTATAGTAAGAAGAAATTCATGGAAATCCGTAATTTAATGTATTTGTAAAAAAAAGAAAGAAAATTTTGAAAATGACAAATAATTATATATATATATATATATATAAATTAAGATCTGGGAAATGTTGAACGTTTTGAATTTTTACGTCCGAGATTCAAATTCGAATGATCATTACGCGTGTGATTTTGTTTAATAAATGTTTGTCCACATTCTTTAATAGAATTATTATAATTTTGATTCGAAAAATTTTGTTCAGATGAAAGGGATAAAATTGATCCTAATGCATTTATAGATTGATCATTTGAATTATTATTATTTGTGACATTATGATGATCATCAAATTGGGATTGATTCATTTCAAGTAAATTGGTTACTGAAATATGATCCGAAACATTGAAAGATGAAGGATTTGTATCATTTTCATTTGTGGAAAGAAATTGACTTGAAGAAGTTGTCCATTGTTGAATATTTTGATTATTATTAGAATTACCAATTGAATCAAATTGTTGTTGTTGCTGCTGCTGCTGTTGTTGTTGTTGTTGTTGATTAATTGTAGAAATCAATAATTGGGATTGAGGTGCACGATATTTATCATTGTTATCTTTATTATGAACACTTTTTTGATGATATTGTAAACCATTAAGATTACGATAACTATTTTTACATCCAAGAACTGGACATTTATAAGGTTTAATATTTTCGGATGAACCTTCTTCATTATTATCACATTGATGTCCAGAAGAACCTTTTGCTTCCGCAATATGATATTGTAAACCATTTATATTTTTATATCTTTTAAAACATCCCGGAAGTGCACATCGGTAAGGTTTATCAGAACTTCCAACATTAGGGTGAGCTGCTTTCATATGATAATATAATCCATTTGAATTACTAAAATTCATTTCACATGTTGTTACACCACAACCATATGCTTTATTATTACTAGATTCATTTACAGTAGTTTCATTTGATGTTGATGTTGATGTTGTTGTCGTTGATGTTGTTGTTGTTGAAAATTTAGATTTAGAAAAATTCATATTATTCATTTGTGTATTATTTTGTAAAGTATTTTGTAAAGTATTTTGTAAAGTATTTTGTAAAGTATCTTGTAATGTATTTTGTAATGTATTTTGTAATGTATTCTGTAAAGTATTTTGTAAAGTATTTTGTAAAGTACTTTGTAAAGTATTTTGTAAAGTATTTTGTAAAGTGTTTTGTAAAGTATCTTGTACTTCAGTATTCTGAATATTCATACTTGGTGAAGAAGATAATAACGAAGCAATGCTAGGACCACTTGATGTAGTGGATGTGACCATGTTTGTGATTGGTTCAGGTGATAAATTAGATGATATATTTGATGTAGAATGAGAATTTTGAATAGCTGAAAACATCATACGTGGTTGTTGTTGATTATGATGTTGTTGTTGATTATGATGTTGTTGTTGATTATGATGTTGTTGTTGATGATGTTGATGTTGATGATGTTGGTGTTGTTGTTGTTGTTGTTGTTGTTGTTGTTGATGTTGTTGTTGTCGTTGTTGATGTTGTTGTTGATGTTGTTGTTGCTGTTGTTGTTGTTGGTGACGATGTTGATGTTGCTGCTGTTGTTGTTGTTGTTGTTGTTGTTGTGAATTATTTTGTTGTACATTTGACATTGAATTTTGAATTGAATTTTGAATTGAATTTTGAACCGAATTTTGAACCGAATTTTGAACTGAACTTTGAACAGCTGATAATGGTAAATGTGGTTGCGGCGTATTTGATGTTAATTGTTGTTGTTGTTGTTGTTGTTGTTGTTGTTGTTGTTGTGTGTCTGATGATAAATTTTGAGGTGTAATAATTATCATATCTAATTGATGATCTTTATTTGCTTTTTTGGTTCTTTGAATTTTTCTCCATCTATTACGACAATGTAATCCAGGACGTCCAGGAAATGATTGAGCAATTTGTTGCCATTGACTACCCAATTCTGAAAATCTCTGTATTAAAAGATTATCTTCATGTTCTGACCATTCCGTATGATCAATTTCAGGATCAAGACATTCTTTCCATCTTTTAGCACATTGATCATCTGTCCTACCAGGAATTGATTCTGCAACTTTACACCAAACTCTCTTATGTTTTTCTACTGCTTTTTTTAATAATTCATCCTCTTCTAATGTCCATGGTCCTTTCCTTAAATTTGGATCAAGTGAATGAAACCATCGTTTTCTACACATTTTATTTGTTCTACCAGGTACGCAGGCTGCTATCTTTGTCCATTTCTCTGACCTATCCCCATAAAGTTGAACCGCTAACCGTAATAAGTTATCTTCTTCAACGGTCCAAGCTGTTTTATCTGTCTTAACCTTATATTTTGGTCGTGAGGGACGAGGTCTAGAAACTGCTGTTTGTGACTGGTCAGTTATATTTGGTGGTAGTTCAGCTATAGCTGATGTTGTTCCCGTTAAAGGTGCTAAAATAGGTGGTAAAGTATTTTCAAGTGTATTTCCTGAATTATGAGGTTGTGCACCATCTTGTTGATAGGAATTAATAAAAATGCCTGGAGATGGTGGTGGAAGAGCAGGACGGTGACAATGAGAAGTATAGTTATCTTGTGAAGAAGAATTGTACTAATATATGTATGTCGAAAAAATAAATTAATTAGCAAAAAAAAAAAATTGTTTCTTTTATTAATTTTATCAATTTCCAATGAATAAAAACTTGATAAAATTACCATCAAGATAAAATTTTTTTCGTCTTTAACTGCGTCAAAAATGAACTTTGACTCGGGCTTTACACGGAGAAAGTTATAAAAAAAAAATGGGTTTTGTGAAAAAAGATACCCATATTTTGCCATATATATTATTGGATAATATCTTATCTAATATCACATGAGTTATGTCCAAACTTTTACAATGATGAATGATCCGTGGGTCACACACACGAACGTCTTTTATCTTTATGCAGATCTCCGATTTTTTAATAGGGCCAAGTAACATATACACAGCCGATGTTCGAAGATGTTCGAAGATGTTCGATACGCCAACCAAATTGACAGATCACCAATCACCCCAATTTTAGGGTGCAAATTTTCCATTCCGGAGTTGTGATTAAGATGGTGATCAGGTATTAAATTTTTTTTAAAGCACTCGAATTATTCTACTTCGTGTTCTTCAAGTTGCTATTTGCCTAACAACTGTTCATGTCTGTTCTGTCAATATTTGAATTGTTACCAACAATAAATTTTTCATTTTTACATATAATTCGTTTACCCCTCCTCAAAAAATGTAATGGTTATCTCAACAATCACTGAATTTTTAGTGACATTATTCGACATTATTGAACAGATTGAACATTTGATGGATAATCATGTTACACGTCAACGAATTCAGACACGAAGATCATGTAGGAGAGTTTTATGGCAAAGTTTCACGTGAAAGCAGAAATTATAAATGAAACATAATTCTAATCATAATTGTTCCGAGAGGATACACTTTATAGTGTATTGTAGTTGATAATTTCTAATAGCGTAGGCTTAAAAAAAGAATATCCCTGTATAAAAAAACAAAAAAGGTCGGAACATTAGAAAAAACCTATTTTACTAACGTTCTCCAATTTAAAAATTAGTAATAAAATTTAGAAATTACAGCGCGTTTCGCACATTTGAGTCTAGATTGCTTATAGATTAATCAATTATTACAACTATCCAAGAATTAAGAGATTTTGAATTAATCCTCAACTTTTCATTTGAAAAATTAGATAAACTTAAATATGGACGTGGAGTCAGAAGTAGCTGCAAAGCGCGAAAGGCGTCAGGAATTAAGAGATGCAAATTTAGCTGCCCGTAGACTTGGAAAACCTGGTACAATTTTTTTTTTTTTCTTATATTTCAATATTTTTTTTTCTCATTAATATAATTTGGTTCTTTCGGAATTTTTTAAAAAAATAATATTTTTGTTTCAATTTAGATTCTTCGAGATTTAAGGGTCTTGATTCCAATATTAAAAAGAATACAACTTTTATTAAAAAATGTAAATCTCAATTATCAGCGGAATATCAGCAACAATTATTGAAAGATGTTAAAACCTTGACGCTAGAAAAATATATCTCCGAGGTGGTAGTTGCTGTAATAGAAGGAGCGCAGAAATGTAAAGCTGCTACTGACGTTTGGGTCGCTGTTGAGGTAAGAGTAGAGATTATTTTTCATTTGAATATAAATCCTTAATTCTCATATTTTTTTTTTCCTCACTTTCATACTTAAATTTATTTTTTCAAAGGTGATCTCTGCATTGCATCAACGATTTCCAGATACATTTACTCCCTTTTTGACTTATAATTTGGCTCGTTCCCTTACTCCACCAAATAAACAACAACTTGCTATTCTTACCTTGGAGCAACGCGAAAAAGAGGAAGGAGCGCGAATTTTGAAGCAGCGTATCCTACTCCGAATTGCATGTGAACTTTGGTTGTTGGGTGTACTTCGAAATGTTGAAGATGGTGTTGCTGCGTTGAATAGTGGAGGTGCGGCTGTTGGAGCGGGTAGCGTGAACGGAGTCAAAGATAATGTCGCCGGGTTCGTCAGCAGTCCAATCAAGGAATCCAAAGAATCCAAAGAGACAAAAACTTCTGGTGAAGGGTTCATTTATACTGTGTTGAAAGACTTGGTTTGTCGCAATGCATCCATTTTTCATAATTATTTCCAATATCTCTAGTATCAATGTTTGTTTGTGCAGGAATTTGTTGAACAAAGTGTGTCTGTTTACTTAAATATGATTAGTTTTCTCATGACAACAAACATGTCAACCTTCCGCTTGCTGTATCCTTTGTCAAATATTTTGGGACGGAAATGATCGGTTCCAGCAAAAGAAATCGGGAAAATTCTGATCCAAATTCCTCCGATGTCACCGTTAACGGTGATCAAAATACTGGTCTTGATAATTATATTTCGGATTCGAGTGGCGAAATAACAATTTCCACTAGTCAACGCAATCTTTTTAGAAATCTGTTGATCGATTACTTTAAGGGGGTTGAACAACATTTATTAAAAGAACACCAAGTTTGTTTAATTTTTATACATAAAATTTTTTATCTTTTTTTTTTTGAATATGGATTCACATTAATTAATAAATCAAACTATTTTAAATAATAGAAAATCAAGGAATTAGATCGTAGTAACCATGAATACTATATAACTAGAGGCGAAATTACAGAGGAAACTAAGCAAAATTATGAAAAAGCTGTGAAAACTTTCGAAAAATTATTGCAAAATGCACAAATGTAATTATTATTATTATTATTAATTTTTTTTTTTTAAATGTTTTGTATTCATCTGTTAGTTTCAATATGTTATTTATTTGTCTTTTTCTAAAAGTCTGGCAGATTCATTAGATATTGACATGCCGGATTTACCAGAAGACGAAGGAACTACAAAGATTGGAGGTACTATTATTCGAGATGGTTCATCCACTAACGAAAGAGAAGTTAGTTTTCATTTACCTATGAATTTTCTTAAAAGACAAAAGGTTGATAAAAAAAAATAGATTTTAAAAGTTTATCAAAATATTTTCGTTATCAGGAAAATCCAAGTAACAGCATCTGGGAAGATGAGGATGCACGTAGTTTTTATGAATGCCTTATTGATCTTAAAACCCGGGTACCCGGTGTTCTTCTCGAAGCAAAATCCACTAAAAAGGATGAAATTGAAGTTGATAAGGATGAATTAGGTTCTAATGGAAATGAAAAAGAGGATAAAGAGGAAGATGAAAAATTAAGTGAAGATAATCAAAGTAATGACACCAAATTTAAAACTACCCAGGAAGCTACTAGTGATACTAATGAAGAACATGAATCTAATGAAGAATTGTCTGGTAAAGATGATGATGTAAAAGAAAAGTCCAATGATCAAGCTGGTGCTGATTCGCCGACAAAAAAAGAAGGGGAAGCCTTCAATAAGAGTGGAACATCGGCACAATTGGATACTCTTTTAGCACGTCTACCAAACATGGTTAATCGAGATCTTATTGATCAAGCCGCTGTTGAATTTTGTTTTCTGAATTCTAAAGCATCCCGAAAAAAATTAATTAAAGTAGTTCTTTATTTACATTATGGATTCAAAATTCATGGATTCTTTTTATCTTTTTTTTTTCTTTGAATTATTAATTTTTGTCATATATATATTTTTTGGATTGAAAAGACATTAGTGGGTGTACAGCGTACAAGAATCGACCTCCTTCCATACTATTCTCGTTTAATTGCAACACTTAATCCTTATTATCCAGATGTTACTGCAGCGGTGCTGCAAGCTGTGAGTTTGCTTTATTTATTTTTTTTTTGTAGTCTTAAGGAAACTTATTTGTACGATTGTGATTTTATTTACATATAAAATCATAATAAATTATTCTATAGTTAGAAGGCGAATTTAAGTCTTTACAAAAGAAAAAGTCACTCGATTTTCTAGAAACTAAAATCAAAGTAAGGAAGGAACATCGATAAAAGTTTTATTAATTTTTTTTTATATGCAATTAATTAATTATTATTATTATTATTATATATATATATATATATTTTAATAAAATAAAAGAACATTAGATTTCTTTCGGAACTTGCAAAATTTCGAATCACTCCTCAACACGTAATTTTTCATTGTCTTAAAGTGGCTCTCGATGATTTTTCGAACCAAAACATTGATATCGCATGTAATTTATTGGAAACTTGTGGAAGATTTTTATTTAAAAGCCCTGAAACATGTGTCAGGATGGGTAATATGGTATTAATAAAAAATAAATTATTCAACTTTTTGTTGTTGTTCACAAAGTTTTTATATATAAAATATAAAATTTCAATATATATATATATATTAAAATATATGAAAATCTTAATTTTAGTTGGACATCATGATGCGAAAGAAAAGTGTTCAGCATTTAGACAATCGACAACTCTTGATGGTGGAAAATGCATACTATCAAGTTAGGACTGATAATTTTTCTTTGTATTTTGAATTAGTAATTTTGTGGTTTTAAGCAGCTTTATTAAATAAATTATTTATTCCCAATAGTCTAATCCACCTGACCGAACGGCAATAGTCATGAAGGAACGTTCCGTCATGGAACAATATATTCGTAAGCTGATTTATTCAGATCTTAACAAAAAGACTGTTGAGAAAGTTTTGAAGTCATTGCGAAAATTGAATTGGGAAGACAAAGAAGTAGGCGAAATTTTTTATGAATCCAGTTTCTTTTATTTTTTTTTTTAAGAGATTATATTTTTTTTTTCCTTATTATTATTTTCCTTATTATTATTTTCCGGTCAATAGACGTATAAAGTTCTTGAAAAATGTTTTTCGAAAGTCTGGAAAATTAAGTATAGCAATATTCATCTTATGGCAATTCTTGCGTCAGGATTAAATCGTTGCCATTCTGAATTTGGAGTTGCTCTCGTAGACAGAGTAATTGAAGATATCAGAATAGGTTTAGAGGTATAAGTAATTATATTTATATTAAACAATTGCTTTTTTATTTCTGTAAACATAATATTTATTAATTATTTGTATTCTCATAATTTGACATAATAATAATAATAATAGCAAAATATTTTCAAACATAATCAACGTCGTATTGCAACAGTGAAATATCTTGGAGAACTGTATAATTATCGAATGGTGGACTCCCCGGTCATATTTGATACCCTTTATTCTATAGTTACTCTTGGACATGGTAAGTCTTTGCAATATTTTTGTGTTTATTCTTTAATTAGATATTATATATATTAAATATAAGGATAAAACAGATTATGGCCGGTCATCCCCTAACCGTATAAATCCTTTGGATCCTCCGAACGATTTCTTTCGCGTCCGATTGTGTTGTACATTGCTTGACACTTGTGGAATGTGTTTTGATCGAGGAAGTTCCAAGAAAAGATTGGACGATTTTCTTATATTCTTTCAGGTAAGAAAGATTTTTTGAGTAAATATTTTAATATTTAAAATAATTAACTGAAAAAAAAAATCTTTATTTGAATTTAAAATTATAGATGTATATATTAACAAAACAAAAAATGCCTATGGATGTTGAATTTATGGTTTCTGATCTTTTTGAGGTACTAAAACGTAGTTTCATTTTTATATATTTATTATATGTTTTAAGATTTTCTTAAATGTATTATATTGTATTTATTGTATTGTAGATATTAAGACCTAAAATGGTTTTATTTAAAACATACGAGGAAGCTGCTGAAGAAGTGGATCAAAAACTTCTACTGAATCAAAAAGCTTTACAAGATGCCGGAGGTTCCATGAAAGGCCAAGATGAAACATTAGATGAAAGCGAGTCGCCTTCATCATCGGATGATGATGATGACGATGTACATGATGAAATTTCGGAGAGAGTAGGAGAAGAAGAAGGTTCTTATGATGAGGTATATATCTTCATATTTTTAACTTTACGATTTTATATATTTTTATTCAAAGAATCAGATAAATAGATTGTTCCCTATTTTAAATATAAAAATTTTTAGCAAGTTGAGTCGGAAGAAATAGACAAAGGCGATGAGGATGATGAATTGATAGTGCATACTAATCGTCAAGATAAGATAACTTTAAAAGAGGATGAAGAATTTGAGAGAGAATTTAGCAAAATGATGTCCGAGAGCATGGAATCTCGTAAATACGAAAGAAAGCCTGCAATTTTGGATGTAGCGATACCAATGCATCTCAAGGGAATGGATAGAACAACTGGTCACGTTGATGGTAGTGTAGCCTTTACATTATTGACCAAAAAAGGAAACAAACAACAGGTACACAATTTTTTTAATGACTTATTTATTTTATTTATTTTTTTGTTAATCCTAGTTTAATTATCACACATTATTGCATTATCAATATGACAGATGAAGACAATGGAAGTTCCTGCTGAAAGCGCATTGGCGGTAAACACTCGTACTAAGCAAGAAGCTGAACGCGAGGAACAGCAACAACTTAAAAAATTGGTTTTAAATTATGAGGAGAGAGAAGAACAAAATCAACGTATCGCTCTCGAACAATCATTGATTAATAGTGGAATGAGGGTCTCTTATCAGTCCGGTAACCGTCGTACAAGTCAAAGGGGTAGGAGGATATTACATCAAGGTGGTGGTGGAGGTTATGCTTATGCTAACGAGAGGTATCCTCAATAATGTTATACTTTAAAATTTATCTTTCAAATATTTTATTTTGGGAATTTCGGTTATAACTAAATTTATCACCTTTCAAATCTAGACGTCGGTAAAAGTTATATTTTTTAACCATATGTATGGGTTTATCTCCGTTGGAGCACAAAATAGTATGAGCACTACCGCGGACTATTCCATCGGTTTGTCCTCTCATCATCATAATTGCATTATAGCAATTGTCATGTTCCTGATCGTTCCTCGTTTGAATAACTCTGATTAACTTCGAAATATCCCACTCCAAGTCTGTTAATATGGGTTTTCCTTTAGCCCTTTGACTTTTTGGTTTTAAGGGATTAAACACATTTACTATCGTAATGAGAAATGATGAATCTTGGTGTGACAAAAAAAAAAAAAAAAAGAGGAAGAAAGGCAAGATACGTGCGTGGCTGGTTCTTTTTACAAGACCATTCCAAACTTTAGCGAAAATACGTGTTCTGTAATATATTGTAAATTATTTACTTTATATACATATTTCGTTTGGTCTGTATTTCACAGTTGTTAGTTTTATGTTATCCTCAATTTTTGGAAATATGATGTAATTTAGTTACAAACTTCCAAACTTTTTTGTACACTGATTATGTCAGAAATTTTATTTATATTTGAACCATAAAAATATTCCATTTTAATTATTTATTTATTTTTATATTTACAAAAGAAATAGGATAGTTGATTTTTTTTTTTATATATATGAATAAGGTTTGATTCAATGAATGAAAATTTTTATTCATTTAATCACTGAGATCATTCAATTGATTGGTGAAATTGTGAAATTTCTGTTATCATTCAAGAAAAAGCTGCAAAACCATTATGTTAAACACTGGGAAGAAATCTTATTCATTAATCAAAATGGACTGCTTTTTTTTCATATTTTAAAAATAAAATTAGCACCTTAATATTTGCTAAATCTTTTATTAATGAAAGTGATCTGCCTTCAATAAATTTCCAGAGAAAACGTGTAAATGGAAATAGTACCAACCAACCAAAACTTATTCCGTTAAATATTTAATATGAAACCATAACACAAGTCACAAAAATAAAAAAAAATAAATCATCTGACATGGAAGGTGGTGCTTTACGTGAAGAAAAAGTTTTAGCAGGAAAAAAAAAGGTTTTTATTTTTTCATTTCACTTGTCATCAATTAGTTTGTCAGATCGCTGACTTCTTTTAAAACGACGATGTAATAGTTCAAGAAACTTCAAAAGAAAAAGTTAACATCTGATGGCACCTCTGCGTCAACTCGTAGAAAAAATTCAGATTCTACTTTAATATCAAATACCAGAAGATCCAGTAATACTTCAGATTCAGGAAGTGTTAAAACTGAAGGAACTGAAGGGACAGAAGTGAAAGAAGTTAAAGGGACCGAAAAGGCAGAGGTGAAAGGGCAAGAGTGAGTTTCAGTCTCTAATTGATAATTTGATTGACCAAATGATTATATTAAGAAAAGACAAACAAACAGAACATCTAAGCTTGAACTCAATGGAGAAATGATAAAATTCATATCAATGATGGCAAAATATATTTCATGGAATTCAATTCTCCAAATTATCCATATTAACAAATAATTTAAATAATTTGGAATAGAGCAAACACAAATTTTGATAAAACCCCGAATACTTCTATCGATGATTCATTACAGTAAGTAATTTAAATATATATATATATATGTTATTTTTTTTTTATTCCTTTGAGAATCTTCTATTTAAAAACTATTTAATATGAATGCATTTCAGAAGTTATGAAAATTCTTCATCGGCAACGAGTCAAATAACACATAGTTCACTTGTTGAAGGTCTTCAACCGGTCTCCCAATCTCATATACAACAACAACAATCTCAAAATAATATTTTGACAAATCCCGTCGATATTATTTCTGCCGAGAATTCATCAACTGCAATCGGTATTTCTGGTGATGAACCAGTGTCATATGAAGCACTTGCCAATATATGTCGTATGCAACAACAGACAATTGCTTTGTTGGTAGAAGAAAAGACAGCTTTGACATCTGAGCTAGAAAAGTATTCAGCAATGACTGATCGATTTAAAAATAGTGAAGAATTATTGGAAGAAGGTCAATTGTTGGTTGATGCTTTACGGCGGAAAAATGTAGAATTAGAAGAGAAAATTAAAAATGGTGAAGATAAATTAAAAGAGGCAGGTGAACAAAAAGAAAAAATAATAGAATCTTTACAATCTCAGGTATTTTGATTCATAATCCTTTATCTTTTTTTACCACTAAAGCCTTTATTTCACTTTTAAATAATTTTTTTTTTTTTTTGTATTTTAGAATACACGCGTCGAACAACTCGAGAAGCAGTTAAATACTAAAGATTCCATAATTGAACAATTAACTGCAGAAAAAGCAAATATTAGGTCAACTTCTGATGAAGTTGAAACACTTCAAAAATCCCTTCAAGATAAAGAAGATCGATGTGAAGCTCTCGAAATAGAATTATCTAATTTGCGGCACTTATTTACTAATTCCGAACAGCAACTTGCAGAAAAAGAAACCAAATTATTAACGATTGAAAAGGATGCACATGAAAAGAACACAAAATTTGAGTCATTGAGTAGTCAAATCCAAACTTTAACTGAAGAATGCAATATTTTCAACCAAAAACTGGAGAACAAATCAAGTGAACTAGAAGTAATGTCGAAAAATTTTACAGAACTCACTGAGCAACTTTCAAAGAAAACAGTTATGATGGATGAATTACAACTTGAACGTGATAATTTAACATCAGAATTACAAATTGCTCAATCAGAAAATTCCAAATTGACTAAACGTATTAAAGATATCACAATAAAGGTTGATGGTTTGTCTTCAGATAATCGAAATTTGATATCTCAATTGTCAGAATTAAGAGAAAAAATTGTGGCAATAAGTAATGACAAATTAACTTTGGTTGAAGAAGTAGATAAAGAAAAATCGAGAGCCAGCAGGTTAACACAAGAAATTGCTAAGATACAGGAACGATTGTCACTAAAAAATAATAATGGAGAATTATTAAAGACGAATGGAATACCTCGCGATATTAATTTTTATAATCCCTCAAACGATGTATCAAATAATTCAAAACAGTTTATGTCAAATCTGACTGATTCAGTTTCACAAAAAATTAATTCCCCAAAGAATACTGCAAATCACCGACACCTAATTTCTAGTGGTGATTTTGAAATTGGAAGGTGTTCAGGATGTATCGGTGAAGTAATTGTGATATAAATTATTTTCTGAAAATTATTAAATTTATTAGGAAAATAATATGTAAATTTAATTAACCCCAAAAATATTGTGAATCGAATTAAACATTTGAATTCTTAGAAATTATTATTATTATAAAAAAAAAAATGATACGAATAAAATTTGTTATTTCCTAATATATTTATATTTTTTTTTTTAAATTTATTATTCCTGATAACAAATTGAATGGAATTATTTATAGAGATAAAAATAAATTTGAATAAATATTAATAAACTACATAATAAAATATGTTCGTTGGATATTATTCGGTTTTCATAATATCTTTTAGATAATATTTACTCAAGAATAATCTTAATTTTGCTAATTCATTGGCGATTGTTCTTTGAACTTCTGCACGCAATTCGTGCCTTATTTTTAATATTCTAGGATCATCCAAGTCAGGTGCTGTAGGTGTTTGAGAATATCGTTTTACATATTCTTGGTGTACTTGATCGTCTGGAGATTTAGGTGATTGATGTTCTGCAGATGTTCCTATTTGATATCGGGTCACATTTTGCAATGGAAGACCAATATCTGCATCTGCATCTGAATCGGTTTGATGGTGGATTCCGGGTGTCGTGGGGGTCGTTGAGGTACTTTGAAAACTTTTCCCAGTTTGTGGATAAGATGAATAATTATCATCAACTTCTTTGACTTTCATATCTGAATAAGATGTGATAGTCGGCGTGTACAAAGCTGGTGGGGTTGGAGTATTTTTAAGGATCTAAAAATTTTTTTTTTAAAATTTATTATTTCTTTATAAATCAACTAATATACAATTATAAATTATAAAAATTATGCTTACATAACGTTGAACAACTCCCCAAGGATTAATTCTTCTCGAACCAAACAAAATGAAGTATGCAGCACTTAAAATACTTATAAAGCCTCCCATGTTGGCTGCCATTTGAAGAATTGTGAAATCAACTAGATTAATTCTAAGTCGTACAGGATATTTTTGAGTATTGGTTTCTAAATCGGTAATATAACCCATTGGGATAATTCTAAAAAGTTCCCAAAGACTAGCATTAAGCGCAAATCCTGGGAGGGAAAAGCTAGTGAAAGATGTTTCATATTCTATTATAGCATCAGGATGTGGGTCAGTATTTCCATTTAATCCAGTTCCAATTATTGCATCTGAATGTTTAAGATTGGAATAGTTTTTAATTCATCATATATATTGAATAATATTGAATAAACGTATAACAGAACATTTTTCCTTACCTGATTTTAATGCTTCGTATCTTTCTATTCTCCTAAAATAAAGATAGGATATAGATGGCTATAAAAATATAAATTTTGCAAATTCAGTATAAACTAATACTAAAATTATATTTTTAATATTTTTATGAATTATTATTTTATTATACTTTACCATTTTAACAATTTGGAATCGTACTTGAGTCGGATCTTCGTTTTCCGTAAATGTACCAAAAAAGAACCAGCGTTCCTCTGTAATTTTTCCTAGCTGTTTGAATGAAATTACCGCACAAAGGTTTAACAAGAAAATAATAATAATAATAATAATAATAAAGTATAATAAAAAGAATTGATTATTTACAGTATTATTCGCCTGTTCGCTAGACCACAATGCGAGAGCAATTTTTTGTGTGTCATTATTAAATACTAGAGGGTTAACGCCATAAGATTGATTGAATTGTTGCGAAGGATTTAATACATCTGAAATTGATTTTAAAAATTGAAATTATGTTAATTAACGAAAATTAATTAATTAATTAAATAAATATAGTTTTACTTCATGTTTAATAAAATTTCACATACAACAATATTGACTGGTAAGATTATCGAATCCTAACATATTGACAAAATTCGATGCGTCCATCCTATGGAATGTTAAGTACGAGTCACAACTTAAACCCTTTGTATGATCATCATCTGCAGCATTGAATGCACTGTGAAAACATTGAGGTTGCAGATCAAGTGTTGATCCACAAATTGCAACACTAATATTGATAAAGATTATTAATTGAAATCGAAAAGAAATATATAAAAAAATATTTTTTTTACTTCAGCAACTATTTATAATGAATTTAAAACAATAAATATTTTTATATTTACCCTGGCACCTATAATGAAGAAAAAAAAATGAATTTAATTATTTTTATTTTCAACAAAAAAAAAAAAAAAAAAAAAAAAAAAATAGTAAAAATCGTAAAATAAATAAAAATTAGATATTTACTGGTACAACTGAACGATAAGCAGATTTCATGGAAATTACGGGACTTCTGACCGCTTCAATCAATCTCCAAACATTCCATGCTATATTACGAAAAAATTGAAGTATTAAAATTATCTTTAGATAAATTATTGTTTATAATATTCAAATTAAGCTTTATCAATAAAATGTACTGAAAGTGCTAGTCAACTAATCAATAAAATAAAAAAATAGGATTCAAAATTAAGCCTAACCTCCAAATAAAGAACTTAATAACGCGATCATTATTAATATAATCAATTTTACTCTCCATTCTCTATTATGCGTTGAGTTGACAGTATAAACTGTTTCAACATTAAGTGGTACTTTACTTTTTGGGGCCATATTGATACTATTTCATAAATAATAGGAAAGAAAATAAAGAAAAATAACTTTTGCTTTTATTTAAATAAACAGGTTTTTAGATTTTTATGTAAATGCATTTTCTACAAAGAGGTCATTTGTTTTTTTTCATCATGTAATAACAATAAATGGAAAAATGCTCATGATAAAATTCTAATTTGCATATATCCGAAGGATGACTTGTAAAAAAAAAGCCTCACTTCAAAATAAAATTAGTAAAATCTAATATAATAATGGAAATTATTATCGATTTACTATTTTAAGATTTTGTATTTGTAACACGCATCTCGATTATTTTAATTAGTTTATAATTTATAGTTTCACTGCATTAGGCAAAGATAATCCTTTTACACCACATAAAACATTCTCAACTGCCAGATTTCCCATCAAAGTACGTGTTTCTAAAGTCGCACTTCCAATATGTGGAACAATAGTGACATTCGGAAATTTCAATAATGGATGATTACCATCTAATGGTTCGGGCGTTGTTACATCCAATCCTACTGCCCCTATTAGGCTTTCCGATAAAGCTTGGACAAGATCATCTTGTTTAATAATTGAACCTCGAGCAGTATTTACAAGTATCTAATTTATTTAGAAATGAAATCATACGATATTTTTGTATGGTTTTTTTTTTAAAAAAAAATCTTTTTTTACGTATTACGCATTAAATTCATTCATTGACTTACCACATCTTTCTTCATTTTTTTGAATACAGAATAATTGAACATTTCCTTTGTATTTTCATTCAAAGAACAGCATATACAGATGACGTCTGATTTTTCTAATAACAAATCAAATTCTACTCTTTTTACACCAAGAGTTAGGGATCTCTTTTTTTCTGTGGGACTATAATAAATTATCTTTCCATTTGTACCTAGAAATGGCTTTAATCTAAAAGCCGTTGCTTCTCCAATACGTCCAAAACCGACAATACCAATTGTCTTATTCGTTAATTGAGTACCTGTTCATAATAAATTCAATATATTATTTCTTGTGAAGAGAAATAATACGAATTTAATTACATTTTGAATAATGTACCCAACATTCCGGTTGGACTCCAATCACTCCATTCACCATTTTCAACTGTTTTGATACCCTGAAAGAAATTTTTATATTTGTTCTACATATATTATATTAATAAAGACAATAAAATAAAACAAAATACCTCTCGCATTCTACGTGCTGATGCCAATACTAACAAAACAGTAATATCTATATCAAAATATATAAATATGTATATATATATATTTAATTAATAGTGTTACTAAAAATACTTTTAATGTTATTCATTTAAAGTTTACCTGCAGTAGCCTCTGTAAGAACTTCTGGAGTATATCCCAGAGATATATTGCGTTTACGTAGTTCATTAATATCTACGTGATCGTAACCAACTACAAGTAGAAAGTTCGTAAATTAAAACAGAAATTCAAAAAAAAAGAAATTTTATATAATTAATTTAAATATTAAATATTTAACCTGACATTGTGGAAACAACCTTCAAGCTTGGTCCAGCGGCATCTAACAATTCTGCATCAATTTTATCAGTTAACATGCAGAGGATTCCCTTGACACCTTAAAGAAATATATGAACATGTATTAATAATAATTAATAATAATAATAATAATAACTTTAAAAAAACTTTACCTGACACTCTTCTCAACAACTCGTGACGGGGAATAATAGTATCATCTTTCCAGTAAATTAATTCAATATCTGGAGAATTTTCAATAATATTTTGTGATGCTGGTGGTAAAGTACGCGTTAATAAGACTTTGGGATTCGTCATATGAATTATCCTTGAGAATAATTTTTTACGGATCATTTACAGGTCATTATTTTTTTAGAATTTCTCGAATATTTCTACAAATGTTTAATTCTAAATTGTGCTACTTTTGTTTGTGAATGCTAAGAAAAAAAAATAAAATTTTTTATTTTACATATCAGGTATAGCACCGTTAAATTGTTATATTTTAAAAAAAAAAATGAGTCAAGAAACGAACGGAATTCAAACCGTTCTTGTATCCGAAGAAGATAAGGTTAAAGCTGAGCAAGCAAAAGTGGCCGCAAATAAATTATTTCAGGGTAGGTTAAATATTTGTTGGTTATAAATTTTCAGAATATTTTTAATGTTGATATTATGTAATCACGAAACTTAGCCAAGAAATTTGAGGACTCGATAGCCAAGTATGGGGAAGCAATTAATTTAAACCCTAACGTCGCAGCTTATTATGCAAACCGGTCAATTGCCAATATGAAAACCGAAGCATATGGATACGCGATTACAGATGCCGAAAAGGCTATTGAAATAGATCCAACATACATTAAGGTTTTTTTTTTTTACACTTGATTATTTTGATTTTGAAAAGTTCATTATATAAAAATAATATTATGAAACAAAACTTATGTTTATTTTATTGGTTAGGGTTATTATAGAAGAGCAGCGGCGAATATGGCGTTATGCAAGTTTAAAGAAGCGCGTCGGGATTTTCGTATTGTGAGAACGTTATCTGAAAACAATTGAATTTCTCTTGTTCTTACAATTATTCATGGTAATTCGAAGCCTGTCCATTTTGACAGGTTGTGAAAAAAGCACCCGACGACCAAGATGCAAAAGCCAAATTAATGGAATGCGAAAAAATCGTGAAAAGAATTGAATTCGAAAAGGCCATCGAGGTATTAAAATAAACTTTCAAAAATTTTAATTATGTTTATATTTATATATTATATTTGATTATTTATCAATTCATTTTATTAATTCATCATTGAATATATTCTTTATAATTTCGTACTTATAGGTGGATTCTGATAGACTCAGTGTTGCTGAAACTTTTGATGCCGATTCTATCGGTGAGTTAATGTAATTTCAATTATTTTAAGAAAATCACACCTAATTTTCAAAAAAAAAAAATAATAAATATTTTTATTAATTAAAAAACCTTTTCATGAGAAGCGGTGGAATCATCTTACGATGGTCCAGTAATAGAAAATGGTCAAATTACGAAAGAATTTATTGAACAGATGATTGAACATTTTAAAAATCAAATGAAAATTCATAGAAAATTCGCATATCAAGTATAAATTCATTAAATTTTCTTATATACCCGAGATTCTTCAACAATGGAAAACTTATATATATCTATATATTTTATAGATAATTATTGATGTTCGAAAGATTATGTTAAAAACACCCTCGTTGGTTGATGTAGAAATACCAAAAGACTGCACAATAACTGTTTGTGGAGATGTTCATGGTTTGTTCGAATCCCTTTTTTTTTTTTTAATCTTAGAATCTTTTGGGGGGGTTTTTTTTTTTAATTTAAAAAATAACATTATTTATACATACGCAATGCCTTTTAGGTCAATTTTACGATTTGCTCAACATTTTCAAGATTAATGGTCCGCCATCCGAAAAGAACATGTATCTTTTCAATGGAGATTTTGTTGATCGTGGATCATTTAGTCTTGAGGTCATATTGACCTTGTTTGCATACAAATTGCTTTATCCGGATTCGTTTCATTTGAATCGAGGCAATCATGAGACAGATGATATGAATAAAGTTTATGGATTTGAAGGAGAAGTTAAAGCTAAATTCTCGGATAAAATGTTTGGATTATTCTCAGAAGCATTTAGCACTCTACCACTCGCACATCTTATAAATAAAAAAATTCTCGTAGTTCATGGTGGCTTATTTAGCCGCGATGATGTTTCAATAGATGATATTAGAAATATTGATCGATTCAGTAAAAGACAACCTGAACATGGAAGTATTATGTGTGAAATTTTATGGTCTGGTAATTAAATATTTTTATGGATATAATCTAATTTTTTTATTTTCATTTCAATTAAATTTTTAATTAAATTTTTAATTAAATTTTTAATATTTTTAATTCCATTACATTTTTTTTCAGATCCACAACCACTCCCAGGTCGTGGCGTAAGTAAAAGAGGCGTTGGAATACAATTTGGACCTGACATTACTGAAGATTTCTTGAAGCGCAACAATCTTGGTATGTTTTAAATATTTATCAGTTTGATTTTGTCATAGTTTTCCAAGGTTTTAATGATTTAATAATTATTACGTAGATCTATTAATAAGAAGTCATGAGGTCAAAGAGGATGGTTATGTCGCTGAACATAATGGCAAATGTATTACTGTATTTTCTGCGCCAAATTACTGGTAAATATTGACAGGTTTTTTTTCTCTCTCTTTCTCGAGAACAATTACTTATGCAATGCTTTATTTTTAATAATTTTTTAATAGTGATAGCATCGGTAATAAAGGAGCATTCATTAAAATCACGCCAGACTTGAAGCTAAACTATAAGACATTTTCGGCTGTGGTAAGTTTTTAAAAATTTTGAATCACTTATAATCTTCAATTTCATTATTGAATTAATTCTTTCGCCATTGTTTAATTAGCCTCATCCTAATATACGACCTATGGCTTATGCCAATCAATTTGGTGGGATGTTTACATGACGCATTATGTTGATAATAATTATACTGATAATATAATTATATTGATTATATTGATTATATGATATAGGTCAATGATTTTTAATTATTGTAATGATATAATAAAGAATTTTACTTTTATCTATATTTACTTGACCACGTGTATATGATATAGCGTATAGCCAAGTCAGTCTCTCTATAATCACATTATTTTTAAAATGTGATTATAAAGAGGTTGTTGTGATTAATGTGATTATAATGTTACATAGCATTAACAGGTATTGGTTTTTGTGAAATATGTGATTATAGAGAATTTTTAATGTAGGATTATAGAAAGTGTGATTATAGAGAGACTTTCTCGTTAGAATTATTACATCCATCAGATCCGAATCACGTGCATAGTGTTTTTATTGAAAACTCCAATATAGTTCGATTGCAAAACAAGTACTCAATTGTTCAAAAGCAAACAAAAACAAACAAAAGTAAACGGATAGGCATGATTAATAAAAAGCAACTTCATAGCCTACCTTTAACACAATTTATACAATTTATATATTATACCTTTTATGTCCAATAATTATATCTAACCCTTTATAAATCACTTTATAAAATATCATTCGAAACTTACTTGTAACTAAATAAATTACCTACATAGTTTTCTTGTCTTTCATCCGATTCGATTTCGACATCATACCAATCATAAATAGTTGGCGAACTTACCCAACTTACCCACAAAACCAAAAAAAAAAAAAAAGATGCAAAAAAGAAAAGATATACAAAAAAATAACTAATGTTACCTATTGTTACCATTTTTTTTTTTGCACTATTTTCTAAATTTAACACTAAGAAATCGAGTTTTTGGTTGCGAATCTTGTCCTAAAACTGTCAAATGAATTGGCTTATACGATAACAACGATAACACAGAGTTGAATACAACCCTACGTATGACACCTATTTTTTTTTTTTTTTTACGATCCAAATTTCTCCAAGAAAATATCCGAATAACATAACTTACGGCCAATAAAAACCGCTTTACATGACATCAATAAAAAATTGCATACTTAAACAGATTTGATTATCTGCGATCCCTCCTTCTATCTCTTGAATACCTATCATCTCTTCTAGGACTTCGCGATCGGCTCCGACGTCTTCTACTATATTCACGATCATAACCACCACCTCCACTTCCACCTCCACTTCCACTTCCACCACCTCCTCCTCCTCCGTATCCACCACTACTATGTCTACTACCATATCTACTACTACCATATCCATGACTTGAAGTAACTGGAGTAGCTCCACGGTAATTAGAACGATAGTCTCTATCATACCCTACGCTAGGAGGAGGATGTGTTGTATGAAGAGCGTATGAACCTTCTCTACCAGAATATTTTTGATTTTGATCAGGACCTCCTATCCGTGTTCCTCCAAGTCCGCCACCTTTAATAATTTTTAATAATTTTGATAATTGATTATTTAACATTCCTCAAAAAAAGAAACGAATATTTTAAATTAAAATAAAAAGATAAAAATATTTACCAAGACGACGTGGTCTCCAACCTTTTACAGTTCGACCACGCTCTACATCCACAAGAATACGTCTACCTAAAAGTTTAACGCCATCAGCATCTTTATATGCAGCTATTAAAATATAGATTTATTAAATTTATGACATTTATGCCTGAGTTATTTAAAATAATTTAATTAATTCAATAATTATAATTTACCTTTCATATCTTTTTCTCTTTCAAATTCAACAAATGCATAACCTCGAGGTTTCCCATTTGCTTTGTTTTTCACAATTCGTATCTAGAAAATTTTTGTTATATATCGTTAAGTAACTAATTTTCTATCTGAAAAATTTAAAAAAATAAATATTTAAAATATTTATCTCACACTTTCGATGGGTCCATACATCTCGAATTCTCTTCGCAAATCTTTTTCTGTCATTTCGTAACTCTTTAAAAAAAAAAAAAGTATAAATAATTTATTCTGAAATATTTTTTTTTTAAGAAAAAGAAAGAATCTTTGAGACTTTACCATTCTAGCGACAAACAGAGTTTTAAAGGGATCACCCGTTACATTATCATCTTTATTTGGCTCCCCTAATTAATATTTTTTTTTAAAAAAAAAAAAAAAAAAGTTCAAAAACACAATTCAAAGCACGATCAAGGAGTCAAAAAATAGTATTACGGCTCACATTCTTCAAGACCTTTTTTGACCGCTTCTTCCGCCTTCTGTTTTTTTTCTTCAAGCTTTTTATTCAAATTGATAGTTAGTAAAACTGCATTATTATAACAAAAAAAAAAGACATTTCCAAATAAAATAAAAGGAATTTAGATTCTAATGACTCAAAATAATGAAATCACTCACTTTTCGTTTCTTTTTTTCTTCAACAGTTTCTGTTGGTACATAATTAGGATCATAGTCTGATAAAGATGGTGCATACGAACCAAGTCCCGTAATCGTGGGACCCCTACGCTTAGCTGGATCCCGATCTAATGGCTTCGAGTATGGAAGCGGTGGTCTCGGTGCAAAAAGCGCTAATAAGTTTGGAGGTAATTTGTCCGTCATCACCGATAGAAAGTTGATAATGAAGGATTTTTTAAAATACTTTTTTGTCATGTGTATAGTGTGATTTTTAACCATTTTTATATGCCCTGAAAACCCTTCAACCCCTGCAATTTATCAGATGTGACTTCATCATTCTTATCATTGTCCGGACTCCCGTTTCCTAGTGGATACTCGAAGACTTTTAAAATTCATAAGATAGAATCTGTTTATAAACTCAAGAAAACTATATAGAATGAAAATCCCATACTTTTGCTCACGTTGACCTCGAAACCTTCAGTTATGGAAGGTTGACAATTTTTATCAAAAATTTGAACAGCTTCACATCACCATATTTCACGGTCACGATAAGTATAATCGTTGATTTCAACGGTCACGATTGATAATCGTCGATTTCAACAGTCACGATTAATAAAAAATAAAAGAAAACAATTTCTCGAAATATAATTTTCTATTTTAAAATTATTTTAACTATCAATTTTATTGATAATGTAAATTACAAAAATAACAAAAAATAATTTCCTTTCTTTTGTTCGTTCTTCACATTATTTTCGGAAATGAAAACTAAAACTCGATAAAAACAATATTTATTTATTGCATGAGTCCTTATTGATAGACAAATTATAAGATTAAAAAAATCGCATTCAAGATATCAATAAACGATGATGTGATTATGTTATAAATTTGATTACATCAATTCTCGGTACACAATACAACATTGTTTAGTGTGATAAGAAAGCTAGTTATTTTGATTCAGATGGTAGTTATGTCACGATTCTTAATTGGTCTAGACATGACACGATATTTGCAACTCGTGTTTGAATATTTTAAAGAATTGTAGTAAAATATATATATAGATTATTAAAAAATATTGGAATGTAATCATTAATAAACATTTAAAAATAATAAATAAAATATAATATATATAAATTCTATTAAATAAATAAATATAATAAAATCCAAAATTATTTTTTACAGTTTATCATTTATCGTAACCGTTGAAATCAATATTTCTATAGATTTAAATTGACAACAATGATTCAAATGCGATCATGATTTTTAAATTTAGATAAATCAACAAGAAAAAAATAATTTAATATATAGTGGCGTTGCCACATCTCCTCATTGCACACTCGCGTTGCAGCAAGCGTCGCTTGCGCGCTGCTACACATTCTCTTAGGCACTGATAACTAAGATCAAAAGTGACCATTGAAATCAATGATGATATTTATCGTGACCGTTGAAAACCAACGATTGTCAGGTAAAAAATAAGCTTACTCGCTTCACTGGAAATGAAAAATTATTTAACTCAATGTAAAATAACTCTGACTTCACAGGCGATTTTTCAATTGAATCACGTCATATGACATGTGCCAAAAATTTTAGCATGCATCACTGATGGTATATGACATTATGTCAAGAAGCATCACTGGTCATATACGCAAAATTGGAAATAATCGTGCCCATTCAACTCTACTTATAACATAATAATTGTACTTTATAAGTGAAAGAAATGAAAGAATAAATTATAGCAACACAATGCAAAGATTCATATATTTTGCAATAAACATTAATAAAGCATTTATTGTTTGCACGCATTGGGCTTATATCACCGCACATAGTTAAAAAATAAAAGTTGTGCACCGAATAATACACTTTCATTCTAGAAAAATTTTGTCAAAATTATCAGTTAGCTAGCAAAGTAATTTAATAACAAATTCCAAGATATTTAAATAATTAGTTACATATATTTTTCAAATATAAGCAAGCTATAAATACATGAGAATAAAAAATTTTTTTTTTTGCATATTTAACATGTAAACGAAAAGGTTACAACTGTTCCAGGGGTACTGGTTATACAGTGAATAGCAGGAACAGCTGCATTGTTGCCCCATGGTACAGATTTTACGAACATCCCACTACTACTAACATCGCGACCCAAATTATACCACTGTGATTGATTTTGATCGTCGTAACCTTTTCCTTCGCAGCAGACAAGAACATCGGGAGGTTTTATAGAAATGGAATATGTCTCCGTATAACCGACGCTTCCAAAGATTGCAGTATTTGCATTACAATCAGATCCGTAAATATTAAGATTATTTGCTGGCGTGCAAACATTTTGATTCATGCAACTTCGTTTAATTAACCGATTTCGCTTCCGTCTCAACGGACTCTATTAAAAAAAATTAAGTGAATAATTACTTATATAAGAAGTATTCTCAATAATATTCACCTGGAATCCCGAAAGCATTTATGGTTAAGATAGCAAATATAGAAAATAACAGAAGTAATGTATGCATTTCTGAGTGGTTATTGTAAAAGAGGATGTGTTTCAACTTTTGTACTCATTTATTCATCTTTGATTATCCATCTTTTTATTTCACGGATCAATCAACGTAATAATAGACAATAACACGACACGTTTTGATGATAATCATGTGTTATTTTGCAATCACAAAATAAGCTAATTTCGGTGCTTTAAACAATACTTTATTATAATATAACTAGATTAGGCGTATGTACAACTTCTTCGCTGTCCCCTCCAGAGTAATAATATCTTTCTTGCCAAATTTTTGGAGAACACAATGCTTATTTTCATCCATGGGTAAAAAGCTGTTATCTGGAGACATCTTGATTTTTTTGGGATTTATCATGCCAACAGCAGTCACAAAATTATTTTTGTTGGATTCTCAGTGAATGTTTCTATAAAGAATATTGCAGATAGATGAGCGAGCATTTTTTGTTAAAAAAATAATTGAAAAAAAATACCAAAAACTTGTGTATTTTTGATCAACGTAATAATAGATGCACAATATATACACTCACTGGAAAAAGTATAGAGACACCTGACAATTTTTAAAAATAAATCATTTTAGTTATTCTATATAAAACTTTTATTATTATTA